CACTTTGATGATGAGCAAAGTGAGTTGCCAGATGAGAGGATGCCTCACATCAGCAGTGGCACCATATTGCCCTCTTGTGGGTACTTACTGCATTTGCAGCCAGTCACTTGGGAGTGTGAAAACAGAAATGGGGAGTTGAATTCATCTGATCATGATGGATTTCCATATGGCTGCATGAAGAATCAGAAACACATAGGGTTTAGGATATGAATATGGAAGTATTACTAAATGGCAGAAAGCTTAATAAGAATGATAAAAGGATGAATGAATTTGAAGAAAGTAGGAAAAAATCCTTGGATTAGAGTCTGTAATAATTCTAATTTCAATGATTTTTCTAGCTTCTTTTTCTTGTTAGAGCTATTTATCTCTATGAGAAAAAAGACAATCTTTCAATAATAAAGAAGCACATTTTACATATAAGGAATACAGTGTTATAGAGTAAAAACCATGATTTTGTTTTAGTGCCTAATTATGTTGTGATATTGATTGTAGTCATTGTGGTCATAACCTTTGCTATCTATCTTTCACCAAGTCATTATCTATCTATCTATCTATCTATCTATCTATCTATCTATCTATCTATCTATCTGTCTATCTACCTACCTATCTATCTATCATCTATCATCACCTTTTTTATCTAGTTAAAGATATCTGCCTCAAGAGAGTATAAAAGGCTTAAAGTTAAATTTCTCAAGCATTTTTTCATTTTTAATGCATAGCATAAATAGTAATGATTCCAAGAGTGTAAATTATTTTTAGTATCATTAAATGATGACATTCTTGCTTATTATACTGTCTTATTCTGAACTAAAAGCACCAAGGTTACACAGTGAATAATTCAGCTTTTCCTTATGGTTTATTATGCATTTTTATTACTTATTAAAATCTTATATACATTAATTATGGTTTGATTCTGGGAGATTCTGTTCAAAATGCTCACTGTCTATTATTCAACTTCTATCACTTTAATACCAGATGGTGTTCAAATTATTTCACTCTTCTCATTTTTTGCAATATTTCTTTCACTTCTTTTTTCCCAGATTCGTTTTACGGCCTGTGTTTGAAGATCAAAAACAAGCTTCTACCCTCCACCCCGCTCCTCACTCTTGGTTCTGATCTTATTAACAAGGCTTCCGCTAATTAGTTTCTGGGATGCAAAGTTACATATCAGCGACGCCTTCCCAGGTAATCCTGGCCTTGCCTTGAATGTATACTCATCGCCTCAGGGAATTAAGCATCCTGCTGTTACTGAACTTGAGAGGAAACTTTGCAGGATCTGTGGTTTGCATCCTAAATTGACTGACTGGGCCAAATGGCATTTGTACTGGAAATGTTACAGGACAGGGAGAGGGGCACCCCAAAATCCCCAAAACTGCTTGCTCTGAATAGGTTTTACCATCCACTGCATCAAGACAAAACATATTCTAGTGCCTAAGACCTTCAATGGAAAGGAACTTTAATACACTTAGCGTGCAATAAAGAAAAGAAGGAGAATGGGGAATATAGTTTCCAAATCAAGTACCCGAAGTTACCCATCCCCTCGTGGGTAACTTTTTTAGTTTACAGTATAAGATTTGGCCCAAAGCAGGGCCTCTGAGGCCCAAACTGTTGTAGAGCAACCCCGATACAAAACGGGGTGCCTGACTGTGGGTCCTCACCCGCGCGCTTGAAAGGACTTATCAATGCTCTACTGCAGGCACACGTGAAAGGTTAATAAAAGGTTTATTTACAACGGAAAGGGAAATGAGGAAATGTACAGCTCAGGGAGAAAAGTGGGAGACAAAGTTTTAAATGCGTCCTACCCGATCCGCCGATCAGGAATCCCAAAATGGCGCTCTCAGAGTTGGCCGCCAGCCAGGAGCGGTGAAGCCAGGAGGCGAGCGATCGCGAGCCAGAGAGGGAGCAAGGCCCACGTGTTTGGTTTTTATATCCAACCTGGCTGCCCAACTCCACCCTCAGGTCCCAGCCACCCTCCCCTTGGTGGTGATGGGATTTGTCTTTCCCAATGTCCTGATGGCTTTAGTCTGGAGTGGGGGTGGAGTCCACAAAGCCTGTATGAGATTATCTCAGGACATCCTTTCCCCCTAACAAAAGGACTGCCACAAGTCTATGGCACCTTCCAGTTTGTATCCATAGAAAAGGGTCAGAAACAGCCAGAGAAGTCTGGAAGTGAGTCTCATGGCAAGTTAGGGTTAAGTATGCAGTTTTGTTATAGGGCAGGGAGAGGGGCAGCCCAAACCCTGCAAACCTGCCTACTCTAAATGGGTTCTGCCATCCACCGCATCAACACAAAACATATGAGACTTTAATGGGAAGGAACTTTAATACAAATAGGAAACAATACAGGAAAGGCAAAGAATATAGTTTCTAAATCAAGAACCCAGAGTTACCCGTCCCCTCGTGGGTAAAACTCCATCCAAATGAGATTGGCCCAGAGAAAGGCCCCAAAGCCTGCCACAAGTCTAAAGCACCTTCCAGTGGGGACCCACAGAAAAGGGTCGGAAACAACCAGACAAGCCCAGGAGGAAAAGAGCAAAATCAACATCAAGATAAAAGCTGCCATTGTCACCTCCCCACGGGACTCTCACCCACATCTGTGTCACCCCATCCACGACCAAAAGACAAGCACAGTTTCTTCAGGTGTCTCTAGGCTCCATGCGCCTCCTCCAGGTCTCCTTCTGGCTCCATCCTGCTTCCTTCCTTCCTCAGTCTCCTCTGCAGCTTCTTCTCTCCCTGCTCAGCTCTACCCTCCCTTGGGTGGGGCAGGAAACCTGGAACCTCCCCTTTGCATGGGCACCCCCAATTACAAAAAGACCAAACTGTGGCCAGAATGGCGGTTAAGCAGCTGTTCAAGCCTAGCAGACCCTCAGATAGGGGGTGGAATAATGTCACCTGGACATTTCTTGGAGCTTATACTGTAAACTAAAAAATGCTGCTGCATGTCTTATAAATTGATATACATATGATGGCGGAATGTAAAGCAAACTCAGAGTGAAGCAATCAGAGCAGATCAGACAATTAAGTACCATCCTTTATTTTTTTGCATAGAAGAACTGGGGTGTAGGTCAGAGGTGTTGGGGGGGACTCGCCACTGTGGGGAGCAGACAGGAGCACCTACCTACAGAGTCGGGGGCTGCTTAAACAGGGTGCGCTGCACTTTGTAGTCTCCACAACACGCAGAGGGAGGAGAACAAGCAAGGGCACCAACAGCATCTATGGGAAAGGAAAGCTCCAGGGAGTGTCTACTGGGGGCTCTTTCCTCCTAACCTTCTCCCTGACTCTTGCAAGCCTCCCCCTCCCGCCCTCCGGGAGCCCCGCCCCTGCCCTGCTGGCCCCGCCCCTGTCAGCCCCGACCCTGCAGCCCCGGAGGCGGGTCTGGAAAAGGGAGAAACCGAGTCTGACTGGGGGAGTGAGGAGAAGGGAATGAGGGTGTCCTTGTGGGGTGGGGGCGGGTCTGCCCGGGGAGCAGAGGAGGGGGAGACAGAATCAGGGTCCTGGGGGCCAGGCTGATGCTGAGCCAGAGAACACCCCTCCCCCAGCAGCTTCCTCTGCAGTGACTGTGGTGATACTGGTGGAAGATGAAAAAGTAGCGTGATGCAAACCTGGATGTTCACCCGTCAGACTTTAAAAAAAAATGTTAACATTTCAGTTTCCTTCAGATCATTTAGAGAAATCAAAGAGGACAAGTTAAACTTGAGGAGGAACACCCCCTCCCACCTCTTAGTAAAGCCTTACTTCTGAAATGGGGTCATTGAATTTCCAGATTAGTGGGTTTAGAGCTTTTGCTACAGAATGTATGTCCATAAAACAGGGGCGAGCCGCGCAACACTAGGATCTGCCCCAATCTGGGCACTCTGGACCACAAGTCCCCACAAGCCGTGAACTACAAATCCCAGCATGCCTTGACCTACAAGTCCCAGCATGACTTGAACTACAAGTCCAGGCATGCCTTGAAATACAGTCCAGGCATGCCTTGAACTACAAGTCCCAGCATGCCTTGAACTACAAGTCCAGGCATGCCTTGAAATACAGTCCAGGCATGCCTTGAACTACAAGTCCCAGCATGCCGCGAAGGTTGTTAGCTTGGGGGCCATGTTTGTTCTAGAACTAAGTGAGCGCTCGTCCAGCGGCGATCCAGCTTCTGTGAGTGCCAAGTACCGACCTGTGAGCATGACGGATAGTATTTGATCACATGTTGGTCAATGAGCGCACACACACACACACACACACACACACACACTCACACTCTCTCTCCCTTCTCATCTCTCTCTCTCTCTCTCTCTCTCTCTCTCTCTCCCTCTCCCCTTCCCTCTCTCTCTCCCTCTCTTTTCTCTTTTCTCTCTCCCCCTTTCCTTTCCTCCCTTTTCTTTTTCTTTCCCTCTCCCTTTCTCTCTCTCCCCCTCTCCCTTTCTCTCTCCGCCTCTCCTTTGTCTGTCTGTCTGTCTCTCACCGCTTTGGGCGGGGTTGGACCCACACCCTGGTCACTCTCTCCCCTGGGGGCGCCCTGGGTGGTTTCCGGGAAAGCTTTGACTGTTCCAGCTGTTATTTCTCCTCCTGTTCTTGCTGCTCCTTCCCCAGTTCCTCCTCCTGCACACACGGCCGGTGGCGCAGCTCACAGACGCCCTGGGCATTGCTTGGTTTTGTTCTCTGTCGGTTTCATTGTCCAGAGTTCCTGTCGCTGTGCCTGCTGCTTCCTCATTGGTTTTCTCCAACGTAAATTCAATCATTAATTCCACTCTATGTACGTTTATGCCAAAGTTTCCTTCTCTAGGGTCTTTTAAGTTGCTTTTAGGTGTCGCTGAACTTTGGAAGTTATGAAATGCAGTTAAAATAACAATCTACAGTTTCTATTTTCTCCTTATACAACTGTATCAGTCCTGATAAATTTTGATTGATTCTTCTATTATGGGTCACAATCTCTTGTTTCTTTGCATATGTGGATGCTTTTTCCCAGGAATTGAATTTTTTACAGAGATCTATTTTGTGGAACATGAAATCTACTTCTACAAAGTGTCCCAGTGTAAGTTATAGTGTATTCTGTACAACAGTTACCACTATTTAAATTCCAAAACATTTTCATCTCCTCACACACAGGCCTCATATCCTTAAGCAGTAACTCCCCTCCCCCTACTTTCATACTCCCCTCGGGACTCACCTATTTTCTCTCTTTCTGAATTTGCCTGTTTTAGGCAGTTAACAAAAATGATCATACAACAGGTGACATCTGCGTCTGGCTTCTGTCCATTAATATAGTGTTCTCAGGATTCATCAATGTTGGTGCATGAATTGATATTTTGTACATTTTTACGGATGAATATAGTCATACAGATTTGAAATTGCAAGATGTGAATCCTGAAAGGATAATCTTCCCTGTGGGAATTTCACACATTTTAGGTGTCATCACTGGATGGACATTTGGGTTTCCACTTTGGGGCTAATTGGAATAATGCCACTGTGAACACTTATGCACAAATTTTTGTGGAGTATGTTTCAGTTTTGGAATATATATAGTTAGGAGATCACTTCTCTGTCTTTTGGCTTACATCAAGTGTGGAATATATCCTTAGGAATAGAGTTGCTGAATCATGTGATAACTCTTCAACTTCTGAAGAAACTGTCTATCTGTTTCCCAAAGAAGCTGCGCCATTTACATGCCCACCAGCCATGCATGTGTTTCCTATTTCTCTACTTGTCATTGTGGGTATTTTGAAGCTTACCTGTCCTATGACTGTTAAGTGCTATCCCGTTGTGGTATTGTTTTGCATTTTTCTAATGACTGGTGATGTCAGCACCTTTCCATGTGTTTATTGTCCATTTTATATCATTTTGGGGATAATGTCTATTCAGATCCATGGCCTCTTTTAAGTTGGATTATTTGTCTCTGTTGTTGATTTGTAGGAACTCACTATGTACTAGTGATAATTCTAGGTAAGTCCCTTATCAGATACATGATTTTCAAAAATTGCCTGTTATTCTCTGAGTTGTTTTCACATTCCTGATGAAGAACCATAAGTTCAAGTATCTGTTATCCTCCCCATCTTTTTTTTTTTTTTTCGTTGTTGGTCTTTGTCCTTGAAGTTTTCTTACAACAGTTTTTAATTATTTCAGTTTTTACATTTAGATCTTTGTATATTTTGAATAAGTTTTGTACTGATTTGAGGCAGGCGTTCAAATTTATTCTTTTGCTTGTGGGTATGTATTTTCTCCACAGTCATTTCATGGGAGGATTCTTTGAACATTGGATTGTCTTGACACCTGTCAAAATTTGTTAAGTATAAACGTATGGGTTTATTTCTGGACTATTACAAATCGTTGATCTATATGTTTGTCTTCATGCAAGTACTTTTTCGTACTTTTGACCATTGCAGTCATGTAGATTTGAAGTTGCAAGATGTGAATCCTGCAATATTGATCTTTGTCAAGGTTGTTTTGGCTGTTCTGGATTCCTTGATTTTCAGATGAATTTTAGGATAAGCTGGCCAATTTTACAAAGCAAAAACAAAAACAAACACACCAAAGTAACAACAACAGCAAAACAGAACTACAGCTTGTATCTATAAGGAGTGCCCTGAATCTGTATGGTTCTTAGAGAAGTATTGTCAACCTCACAGTATTAATCTGCAATTTATGAACATTGAACGTCTTCTCATGTATGTGGTCAGTTTATTTGAAAGATGTTCAGTTTACGGTCCACTGGACTGTTCATTTAAATCTCTACATTTTGTGACAGAAGATTCCTGCTCAGTATTCTGTCACTTTTTTCTATTGCTACAAATGAAGGGTATTATTTCTACTGTGTCCCACTTCCTTTTGATTCAAGCTGAGCACAAAGCACATGAGCAAAGCCACAATATTCCTCCCAATGTCCAGACTCTGACCCCCATGTAATTTTAATTTCTGAGTTTTGCAGTCCAAGTTAACTTCTTTATTGTAACTGCAAGAAATCACAGTGTAGAGGGACCCGCCATGAATATGGGACTGTGCTGAGTGGCGAAGGTGGTGACCAGTTCCAGGCCAACAATTTTTTTTTTAATTTATATATATTTTACATCATTGTTCATTTTTAAACAATGTTTACTTCCCTCCCCACCAAGTGTAGTCCCCATAGAATTCCCTTCCCCAATGCACCCGTGCACCATCACCACAGTCCCCTGTGCTCCTCCCTTCCTCCTTCTGATCCCTCTCCCTCCTCCTCCCCTGCAGTATGTCTCTGGTTTATAATCGTCTGTTTTTGCTTTGTTGAGTTTTGTGTTGTTATTTTTTCCCCTGATGTCTTATGTGGTTTCCCTATATTCCTCCTATAAGTGAAACTATCCTATATTTTTCTTTTTCCTTCTGACTTATTTCACTGAGCATAATTCCTTCAGCCTCCATCCATGTTGCTGCAAATGGCATGAATTTATCTTTTTTTGATTGCTGAGTAATATTCCATTGTGTATCTATACCACATCTTCTTGATCCAGTCATCTATTTTTGGGCATTTGGGTTGTTTCCAGGTTTTACTTATTATAAATAGTGCTGCAATAAATATAGGGGTACAGGTATTCTTTTGAATTAATGTTTTTGTGTCCTTTGCGTAGATCCCAAGGAGTGGAATTGCTGGGTCATATGGCAGCTCTATTTTAGTAGACTGAGGAACCTCCAGACAGCTTTCCATAGTGGTTGGGACAGTTTGCACTCCCACCAGCAATGTGGGAGGGTTCTTTTTTACCACTTCCTCGCCAACTTTTGTTGTTGCTAGTTTTTTTGATATGTGCCATCCTTACTGGTGTTAGGTAGTATCTCATTGTGGTTTTGATTTCCATATCCCTGATTGTAAGGGATGTTGAATTTTTTTATATGTTTGTTGGTCATTTGCATTTCCTCTTTGGAGAGCTGTCTTTTAAGTTCTTCTGGCCATTTCTTGACTAGATTGTTTACTTTGTTCTTGTTGAGTCATGTGAGTTCTTTGAATATCTTTGTGGTCAGTCCCTTATCAGTTGGATGGAGTGCCAAGATTTTTTTCCAGTCAGTGGGATGTCTCATTTTAGTTTAGTGGGGTGTCTCTTTTTAGTTACAGAAGCTTTTCAGTTTGATGTAATACCAGGTGTTTATCTTTTTCTTGACTTTCTTTGCTTTGGATGATGAGCCTTTAAAGTTGTTACCAAGATGTATGTCTTGTAGTGTTTTGCCTATATTTTCTTCTATATATTTTATGGTTTCAGGTATCTTTTATCTCGGAATCTTTTATCCATTCTGATTTGATTTTTGTGCATGGTGAGAGGTAGTGTAGGCCAACGTTTTTAAAGGAAGTGCTAACGTGTGTGTGTGTGTGTGTGTGTGTGTGTGTGTTTGTGAGAGAGAGAGAGAGAGAGAGAGGGTGGCGATGAGGGTGCCCTGGAATGTGAAAATGGTCAGGACTTGCTTTCCATCACTTTCCCCTGTCTCTTCTTCTTTCACAGACTCCATGTCCCACCTCATGTGATTTTCACTCACCTTCAGTGAAGGCCGAGGGCAATGAGGGTCAGAGGAGGGCGGTCATCTCCCCAGGAGCACTGCAACCCTGGCAGAGAGAAGCCTGATACACCCTTTGTGGAAATAATATGCCATGGAGTCAAATAGAGCAGTAATTCTCTAAATCTGAAGAGAGTTGTCCTGATTATTGCATTAGAGAGAAATAACCCAGCCAGTAACTTAATTGATGCCAGTTTTTCATTCTGAACACTGTCACTTCAAAGAAAAGGTCACTAACATTTCCCCTGATTCCATTCTCGCCCCACAGCCTCCCTGTGGGAAGAGGGCAGGACTAGATTCTCTGAGCACCTAGCTGCAGGGCAGGGGTAGGCCTCTTTGCTCCTGTCTTTCCTCCCTGTCTGGCTCTCAGATCATCACTGTTAGACACTAGGGGTGTCTAGTACCCAATGTCCCACATGTCCCCACCTTCCCCACTGCTTCCCACTTTCCCCATATCTGGATCCTGCAAACTCCCTGGGTTCTCCCACAGGGAACTTCCCCTGCTAGACAGTTCCTAAGACTGCTATTTCCCAGGTGTCCTTGGCTCTGCTCCCAGTACCAACTCTTACTTTCCAGCACTTTTGGATTCTTTCTCTCAGGTCACCTAGGAATGACAGAAGGGACACTGTTCTGGTTTCCTTGGTTTGTTTTTATCCTATTGCCATTTCCCACTGAATCTTTATTAAATTATTGCCTTTTTATGTTTTATGTGTGGGAGTTGGGGTTGGGAGAATTGGGGGAGGGAGGTGGGGAGAAGTAGAGTCAAATGTGTTTGTCTCATTTGAATCCTTCGTAGATTACCCAATTCCTAAGTGGTATTACTACTTAATAAGGAAGTGATTTGGCACTAATTATCATTCTTTTTAAAAAAAAATTATTTAATTATGCATACAAGATCTGGGGTCCAGGCCAGAAGTGTATGTGTGTGGGGGAGAGCAGATTCACCAGAGACAGAGTGGGGAACAGAGCAGGCAGGCAGACTGAAATACACTGCTGAGGGGAGCAGCGGGCAAGTCAGGAGAGGTCTGCTGCGCCATTTAGGGTGGTTCCCTGGCCAGCCGGGGATCAAATTCGTGATGCACTGGCTGTGGATAGCTTCATAGGTTATGTCTTGACCCCTTGCGCTGCCAGGGAGGCCCTAATTATCATTCTTGATGTTTGATAGATGGGGAAAGAGATTCACTCTCCCTGACTTAGTTCTCCCTCTCTGCCTGCAATTTTTATGGGAAAGCTTACCTTGCTTCTATCTCTCTTCACTTCCTATGATAGATGCTCTCTCTCTGGGGTGCCATGTAGCCAATCCACAGGCAGATATGAAGCAAATGAAACAGAGTTAGTGGGAAGTAGAATTAGAAAATTTAAATTTTCTCACTTTATGTAAGTTAAATTTTAGTAGCCAGTTATGATAGGGATCACCATTTCTACAACCCAGCAAAAGGGTTTGCCTCTTCGAAATCCAAACCATTTCTTCTCCAGACAGATTTGAAGGCCTTTGGAGGCTGAATAACCAAGTTGCTGTGTAGTTCCATCACTGAAAAATTCTGACAGCTTCATCTCTGCTTCCAAACTGATATTGTAGCCTTTGAAGAAAAGCCATGGCCTTAGCTACCACTATCAAGAAGATGAGGGAGGAAGCCATGTGCTCCATCTGTTTGGAGATGATGACAGAGCCCTTGAGCATCGACTGTGGGCACAGCTTCTGCTGCCAGTGCATAGAGGGCACACTTGAGAACCTACAAGTGACATCATCCCTGAGGGAGCCCCAATGTCCCCTGTGCCGGGCACCATTTCAAAGGGAAAGTCTCCGATCCAACAAGCAACTGGAAAACCTCATTCAGACCGTTAAGGAGATAGACAGTGAGAGGCTGTGTGAGGAGCATGGGGAGCAGCTCCGCCTGTTCTGTGAGGATGATATGAGGCTCCTCTGCTGGCGCTGTGAGCGCTCCCCCCAGCACAGCGGACACAGCATGGCTCTTGTGGAGGACGTATGTCCAGGCTACAAGGTGAGTGGGTGGGCTGAGGGCTTGAGCAAGTACCTGCTCTCATGTTGAACTCTCAGACATGAGATTTTCTTCACTTAAATCAGAGATTATGATCTTGAAATATGACTTTTATTGTGTCATTTTTCTGACAAATGGTTTACGATGAGTCCCCAAAATATAAATTCTTAACTGTACTAACATTTAGTGGATGATCAAAGTCTTGTCCTTATTCACTCTTGCTGTGATGACCCTGTGTAGAATACAGTGTGCCCAATCCACACCAGCCTGTTTTATCTTCGCTTGTGTGTATTCAAGAAAACACAATGTTCAGGGCCATGTGACAGAATCTGAAAATAGGGAAAGACACACCACCTTTTAGGGATCCTGGAGTCAACAGGGTAAAGAAATCAGCAAAACAAGAGAGTCTGGAGTGCCCTTGCTTGGGTGGTGACTAGGATCCCAGCCAGTGGGAAGAGAGTCTGCAAGGACACACAACTCACCATATGCAGAAATTTAGAGAAAGTCATCTGTGTATGTTATTATCTTTGCCACGTGCAGCATTTCCCTGGCAGAACTGTGGTTTTGGGTCAGCTGACTCTGGGTCAGCAGATGAGCTTGGAATCACAGCTCAGCCACCCGCCAGCGATGGGCCCCAGTGCATGTCACTCAACCCCTTCCTAAGCCTCCATCTTGGCCGTACAGAAATGATGGTAAAAGTCCTAATAGTGGTCCAGGCTTACTGCACAGACCTTCCTCAGGGTGTTTCTCTGAAAGCATAAGGATTGAACAACACTTAAGGTCAGTCTAACCATCCTGGAGGGTTAGACTCAAGTGCTTGAAGAAGTTTTGTCAGATTGATTATAATTGTTTCACCGTATTATTATCAGGAAAAGCTCCAGAAAGCTGTGACAAAACTGAGGGAACAAGATGACCAATGTCAGGGTCTGAAGTTGATCACGAAGAAACAAATAAGAAAATGGCAGGTAAGAAATTGAGTTTATTGATTTCAAACTATTGTGAATCCTAAAGCCTAGGCAGAGGGGAGGATGTTTTCACACAGCACATGCTGGTTCCTTCTTACTGCACCAGACTGAATAAATGACATCCAAGGAAGAAACATTCTATGATAATTTATCTCCTTTCTTTTTCAGCCTTTCAATAGTAATTCCCTGGGATTCCTGATACTTCAGTCCAGAGAAGCAGAATTTTGACCTTTCTTACCTAGAACCATCCTTGACTAAATTGGAAATTGGAAATTCCTCATAGTTTATATAAGTTCATGGTTAAAAGAATTCAACCTCATCACTTTGGCACATTTACCACAATACAGGGTCCATATTCATCCTTCGAGGTTCAAAAACCTTTGTGAGCTCTGTATACATGGGCAGTCCAGGTGACGTTATACTATCATCTTTATGAGACTGATGATGGGATAGAGCTGTAATAAGAGCAAATTTTTTTTTTTAATTTACACTGTGTTTCCGCTAAGACTTTCCAGGTCTGACCAGTCTCCTGCACCAGAGGCCTATGCCTTCCAGATATACTGATGTGATCCCTCATGGGCACTCAGCCTGCAGACTGGTTAGTTGTTATGTCTCCCTCAGGGTCTCTTCCAAGCCATTGTCCTGGTCCTTTGTGTGTGGATGTTAAATTTAAGCTCTCAAGGACAGTCATACTTCCTGCCTTTCTGGAATCTCAGGTTGTGAGAACTTCCATCATTGCAAATTTGTAGGGAAACCATGTCAATGCCAAAGTCTAGCTGTCCTGTATGTGTCTCCTACACATATCAGCTTCCTTCTCCACAACATCACAGTCACTGAAGCACCCCATGAACTGAGGAAGCCTCAGTGGAAGTTGCAACTCTGTGTTTTCCAAAATGA